GAGTCCCCCCTTAAGTAGATAGAATTCTAGGGGTCATATTGGGATAATGGAAAAGAAAATGGAAACTACTACTTACTTAGGTTTAGGGCTTAGGGTATATAGGGAGCAGGGTTAAGATAGATTGGCGATGCTGGTTTGTTTAGCCATTCGTGGTGGATTGAAAGTGATGAGCTGAGGCTCACGAGTTGCGCCAAGAAGCCTCATATACTCTAATCCTTATATAAAAAAACATGACATATAATCCCAACTTCCGTTTCATTTTCCAAGTTATCTTCAATCTGCTTCTGCATTATCCCTAGACTAGACCCTAGAGAACCTCCGATAATTAAGGGCCCCAGATTCTGTTGTCATCTTCTGCCGTTGCATGTTTAGGTGTGAACCAAACCCTCCACATCTTAGGTTTATCGAGTATTCAGAGTGGTTGTCAGATTCTTCGTCAAGCCTTGACACGGGTCGTGTAAAGTTGTTGAGTGTCGGAAGTGCTTGGAGCATCGAGGTCTTTGACAGTGCTTTAATTTAGGCTTCAGGCCAGTTCAAATGCATCCCCCCTCCCACCCCAGCGGCCCAAGCCCATGTTGTTGGAATTTAGGCCAGACGCATGCATTCTTCACGATCGCTTCTATGATTGCCATCTGTGTAGGTTTCTACTGCCTTCTGTTCATAGTCGCATGTAGCATCGTTCGTAATCTGGCTATTGCTGCTATGTTGATAGCGATTTGCATTGCTATTGCTGAATTTGAGGAAATCTTGCAGTATTTAACGTACCTCATCCGCTGTGCCTTTTGCTGGAGATGCCAAACATTAGGTAAATCCTAACGTTAGAATTACTCAGGATTGTGCAGGATTCCCATTATCTCAGCAGTAACATCCCAGGTCTCCTTGGATGTTCTCCGCATCGCGAGCCGAAACGCGCAGCGCAACCGAGCTACCGTGCGCCTGCGACGGTGGAACTTGATGCAGCAGCTGCCTGCGGACTTGCTGAAGGAAGCTGACCGTGAAAGGAGCGGGGAAGTCTTGGAACTAATGGGTCCTGTCCCTGGTATCCTGACTCATGCACTCCTATGCTTTTATAGTTTCCCGTGTTTTTGCCCAAATTTCGGATGCCGGGCAGCAAGGGGCCATCTACGCCGAGCACAGGTGCTTCAACACTTGCCAAGAGGTATGCGTAGTCTTTCGTCCTCGCGCTCCTACCTCCACCCTAAACCCTATCCCTATTCTTTCTCCCACTTCAACCCTCACAATTCAACGACTAGAGAAATATTCTGTTAAGCTTGTCTTCTTATTTGTCTCTTTCTTATTGGGCATATATAGCTTATGCGGCGATAGTGGAAAATTAGCTGGAAAGTATTATAAATGGGGTTATATAGGGATTATAGGGTATATATTGGGCTGCAGGCCATCTAACAGCGCATTCCATCTTTGCCTCTTGGACCTTGGATGGCTTGACATGCAGCAGCGCGCGACTGAAATCCTCCGAGACTTCAACGTTAGCATCGTTCTGGAGGAGGAGCAGACCTTAGCTTGGGTCGTGGATCTTCATATTCTTCCCAGGTAGGGAAAACCCTAAGTCATAACCAGGTGATCTCCTATGGTCTCCTATAGTTACCAGCATATAAGATACTAGTGCAACATAATACACCTACCCCACAATTCGCGAATTATCGATGGTTTTCCTTAAATAGGAGGACCTTAGTATAGACCCCAAAACGGTACCCCTTAATTTTGCTCAACGCCCCCCAGAACTCACCTGGAGGAGTGGCCCACTGTGGAGGGTGTTCTGAGCCTCACCCTGGAAAGGCTGGGTTGCTGTTAAGGAACTTAGATTAAGTTACCATAATGTAAATAATAGGGTTTCCCAGTTATACTGTTGATACTAGAAATCCTGCATGACACCTTTATATACTATAGTACTATCATTCCCA